GATGCTTTGAGGGCATGCTGTGGGTCTTCTCCCAAAATAGCTGCCGTTGGGGTGGGTGGCCCATCATAACGTGCTTGTCACGGTGGGGGCAAACTGTTTAGAAAAAAACAAGCTGGTTCTTCCTTTCTGTCCTTTCTAGCTTCCTCAGAGAACCTCCACCTCTCCAGCTGACCTTTCCTCCCACCTCCGACAGGTTTATGTGGGATTCAGAACTTTCCAACTTTGAAGAGGAGGCTAATGTTGAGGAGGTTGTTCACCTGGGCTTACATAAACAGTTTGTGCCTCTGCATAAAAGGTTGTTGAAGACGCCTTCTCACCTAGTGTTTTCTTAATCAAATTTCTTCATCTAAGAATAAGACCCCCGGTGGTGCAGTGGTTAGAGTGCAGTATTGCAGGCCGAGTGCAATTTGGCAGTTCGAATCTCACCAGGCTTAAAGTTTGACGCATCCTTCCCTCCTTCCAAGGTGGGTAAAAGGAGGAGCCAGCTTGTTGGGGGGGACGAGAGGCTGACTCTGTAAACTGCTTTGAGAGGGCTGGAAAGCAGGAGGTGAATATACTGCAAAATTCCCCTCCCCACCCCACTACCCTGCTTTCCAGCTCCGTTCTCCTGCGCAGGGCAACCAAAGAAAACCCAGATGATCAGCTGTGAGTGTGGCTTGATGGGTGTGGCATTCTCTGGGCATGGCTTGGTGGGCGTGGCTTGGATTTGTGGGCATGGCTTGGTGGGCTGTTGTAATGACGAGGCGGTTGAGTTGTTTGATCATGAACAACTGAATCATGATGATCTAGTCTAGTCTTGCATTTATACACATTTTTAGTTATCCTCCATCACTGGTCAACTTTGGTTATTGCTTAACTTTCGTTACTGTTTAGCACAGTAATCCATACAATTAATTATCTCTAGTCAAAGTCTAACATATGTTTACTTCCTCTCTCTAATCCTCCTTTAGATTAGTGACTTTGTTTACCTGAGTTGTATTTGCTTGGAAACATTCTTTATCTGAGGTTTGCCATCCGAGATTGGAACATTCCTGCAATTACAACTCTACAGTGGGTGTGGCAAGGGAAGGTTACTGCAAAATCCACATTCCCTCCCCATCCCACTAACCTGCTTTCCAGCTCCCTTCTCCTGTGCAGGGCAACCAAAGGAGACCCAGACAATCAGCTGGGACTCAATGGGAGGAAGAGAAGAGATGGGGTTGGCGGGGCCAGTCAGAGGTGGGATTTGCCGGTTCTCCAAACTCCTCAAAATTTCCACTACTGGTTCTCCAGAACTGGTCAGAACCTGCTGAATTCACCACCTCTGGACAAATATACCTTGCGGTGTTTGTATTTTCCATTTTTGTTTGCCAGTTATTTTATCTGAGGTGTACCAGATGCTTCTGGCATATCCGCTTTCTCCCAGGATCCTCTTGGGCTCCTGTGCCAACCCCGATCTATGGCGTGGTGCAGTTTTATTTTCTGTACGGAGCAAAAGGAGAACCACTCTTCCTTGGCAGTTTTGGGCAGCGTTATAATTTTATGTGGTGGGGTTTGGGGAAGCTCTTGTTTCTAGTGTTGTCCAGCTGATTTGATCTTCTTTTGTTTAGCCAGAATTATCCGCTTTCTGCCTTGCTGGGTCCGTTCAGACCACCAAGTGACATTTGCATTTATTCAGAAGCTCACTCCCCCACCTGCACAAGGGAAGAGGAGTGTGTGTGCATGTGCGTCCATATTGCATGTTAACTGTCAATGCTTCCTACTAAAAACTTCACCCAGCTCGATTTGGCTTGGAACCAAACAAGCAGCTGCAAAGCAAAGTACATTTGCTTACGTTTGGCACTGCCTTCCTTCTGTTTTTTTTTTAGTACAGTTTTAAATTGAGTTTCAGTGTACAATGAGGTAACGAAGCTTCCAGATTGTCATGACATGTGAGAAAGACCTTGGGAGACTGAGCGGAAAGATGCTGCCAAGGGAACGGGGAGATTAGAGACCATGTAGCCCGCAGCTGCATCAATGGGTGGAGAAAGAGGATCAGGAGGAACCATCCCTAGTTTCTTGAGCTACAAAGGAGGCAGGGAGAGAATTGTCCTTCCAAACTTGCAAGATTCTGCCAAGGTAGCCTTATACTAAAGTGGAATTGGCTCACTGGTGTGTGATTCCTAGCTATTTAACCCTGTGAGGCTGACACAGGTAGCCCGAGAGTGAATAATCTGTATATTGTCCTGGTTTGGATTTAATACCTATACCTGGCCTGCCGACGAAGAATGTTTTGGCCCTCAAACTTTGTTACAAGATCCATAGACATACCTGAAAGAAGAAGAAAAAGGTAGATAGCTGCTTTGTTTGGAAAGGGAGGGAGGGATAAAGGAAGGAAAGAAGGAAGGAAAGAGATCTGGCTATAGATATTCAGAGAAGGAAGGGAAGAAGATGGAGGGAGGAGGGAGGGAGGGAGGGAGGTGGAAGGAGGGAGGAAGGAAGGAAAGGGAAGGAAGGAAGGAAGGAAGGAAGGAAGGAAGGAAGGAAGGAAGGAAGGAAGGAAGGAAGGAAGGAAGGAAATCTAACTAGATATCTAACTATAGATGTTTGTTTGGAAAGGGAGGGAGGAAGGAAGAGAGATGGAGGAAGGAGGGAGAGTGGAAGGAAGGGAGATGGAGAGAAGGAGGAAGGAAGGAAAGAATGTAGCTATAAATATTCAAAGAAGGAAGGAAGGGAGATGGAAGAAGGAGGGAGGGAGGAAGAAAGAAGATATAGGAAGGGATGAAGGAAAGAAGGAAGGAAGGAAATCTGGCTATAGATATTCAAAGAAGGAAGGAAGGAAGTTGGAGGGAAGGAGGGAGGGAGGTGGAGGGAGGGAGGAAGGAAAGAAGGAAACAAGGAAGGAAGGAAATCTAACTAGATATTCAAAGAAGGAAGGATGGAAGCATGGAAGGAAGGCGGAGGGAGGAGAAGGCATGGAAGGAAGAGGGAGGGATTATGATGATTTAATTTTTATTATTTGATTATCTTCATTTAAGTTTATTATTGACGTTCTTCATGAAGCCAAGCATTCCTCTTGGCTGGGTTTCATCCCAAGTGACGGATTTAGGGATTTTGACACGTTCAGAGTTGATGTGATTGAAGCAGGTTTTTAAGGCCTACAAATGTGTACAAAAGTTCTAGGCGTTTCTTATCTCTGGGGGTGGAGATGAGAAATTCTCTATCTGGGGCTTCAGTTCGCTCCATTTTTTTTTTTTTGAGAGAGAGAGAGAGACATGTAAGCAATTTCATCGCTCGCTGCTTAAGCTGCTCTTTTATCTAAAATATTGAGCTGCTGGTTTAAGGTTGCCAGTAGCAAGCACGGCTATTTAGGGCGCCACATTGCCGTTTTATCTTTCATTAATCAGTATATTTTCTCTCCTTAGTTTTATGATTCTCACCCCCCCCCCGACAAACAGAATAAAAATCGAATGCACATGCCCCTACAGAGTGCCTGTCTTCACAGCATACACAACCATGACCAAAAAGACCACACTGAATGTGATTAGTTTTAACTTCAGCTCTCACTTTTGTGCATGTGAATTGCTGCCTTGTGTGAATCTAGGCCGTTTGGTTGAAGTATGATTTGATGAGCTGTGTAAGCCCGGAAAATGGGTTAATTCAGCAATCTGGTTAAGCACATAATATACTGTAAACACAGCCACCACTGAGTTCGTTGCTTTAAGCTATAGCAAAAGGGGTGGGATTTTTATTGCGATGGTTGTTGTTATTGTTGGTCTCGGTTAAGCAAACTGAAATTTGTTTTAGCGTTCCTGCTGTTTCTTTTGGCTTAGTTCAACTCGAAAAGGAAGACACTTCTCGGATTCTTTTACGACTCCGGAAGGTCCGTTCCGATTTCCAAAGCCACAATATTTCAATACAGATAGTTTCTTGACTTATGATGGTTCATTTAGTGATGGTACAAAGTTAAACGGCACGGACAAAAGAAACTTACGTCTCTTTTTCACATTTACGACCGTTGCAGCATCCCTGGCCGGGAGCACGTGATCAAAATTCAGACGCTTGGCAACCGAGTTGTATTTATGACGGCTTCACCATCCCAAAGTCATGCGATTCCCCTTTTCCGACTTTCTGATGAGCAAAATCAACGGGGAATCCAGATTCCCTTAATCAACACTGTTCCTAACTAGCTTTGAAGGATGAGTTGTCTAGACTGTAGCTCTTCCTCCAGTCTCCCAAGGCCATTCCCACAGACCATTACCATCTTTTCCAGGATATTTTATGGGCTCTCTGCGTGGCTGGATGGGCATGGCTGGGTGGTCATGTGACTCGGTGGGTGTGGCCAACTTGACATTGCTTCTTTGGCCTAATTACCTAAAAAAGATAATATACCAAAAAGTTGTTTATTATTTCGTGCATTTAATACTTAAACAAAAGACTGGGTGAAATCAGGCTTAATAGCAGTGACTGTGAGAGGGATCTTGGAGTCTTGGTGGAGTTTCTGTTGAGTTAGGTGATTCTTATTATTTGGGGATCAATCCTCTCGGAGGCTAGTGGCTATGTTCTCTGATTTTCTCAATGGCTCTCCCTCGCAAGCACTGAGTGGATTGTTTATCTAGCTTGCAACACTTTTACCAGGTGTGAAATGCTCTTGGCTCAATGCCCAGAAGTTCAATTAAGCCTATTCAGAGCTTTCTCTTGCTGCTTCTCTTTCTGAGGTTATTGGGGGCTCTCTGAGCCCCACAGAGTCTTAGCTAGGGGCTCTCCAGAGCTCCCAGTAACCCACCCCTGGTTCTGGGTGAGGATGATGGGAACTGATCATTACCATGACCATGGGTTCCTCCACCCTGTGGCAGATAATGCTAGAAAACATTACTCAGAATATTTTGAGCATACAGCGTTGTGCTCGGAATGACGAATTGCGTTGGGGCATTTCTAACGGTAAAAATGTTCTGGGTCGAATGGATTTATCTAACGAAATATCTGAGAATTAAACCGATCGCTCTTTACTGACGGCAGCCTGTGTTTTATTTTGCTTCCAGTCTTGCCAAATCTTTGGAACGCAGATAGTGAATTTTCTATTCCCGAACAAAAGCAAGTGGAAAACAATGAGGAACGCGCAAATTCTTATGAAAGGAAGCTGATTGAGGTAAGAAAAGGTTTCTGTGGTGGAAGTCTTCTTTCCCTGTGGTTTTCCCAGCCTTTGTGTCACAACATTTAACAATTCTTTAATCATCGCTTCTTCTGAAGGTTAACATCTAGTTTGCAAACACGTGCACGATCTCTGCCTTCCATTTCTGCTAGTATTTTTCAAATGAGGGGATTTATTGCATGCTAATGATCAGAGATGATTATGCCGCAGTGATGTTTTTACATACGATTTGGTGAGATTGTCCAACAGAGACACCCCTTACCCCCAGTGGTGGTATTCAATTTTTTTTTACTACCGGTTCTGTGGATGTGGCTTGGTGGGTGTGCTGTGGCTTGGTGGACGTGGCTTGATGGGCATGGCAGGGGAAGGATACTGCAAAATCCCCATTCCCTCTCCACTCCACTCCACTAACCTGTTTTCCAGCTCTGTTCTCCTGTGCAGGGCAACCAAAGAAGACCCAGCCAATCAGCTGGGACTCAGGAGGTGGAGAATAGATGGAGGCGGAGCCAACCTGAGGTGGTATTTACTGGTTCTCCGAACTACTCAAAATTTCTGCTACTGGTTCTCCAGAACCTGTCAGAACCGGTTGAATGCCACCTCTGCTTACCCCGTAGTTTTTCCATGTAAATCTATCCAAGGTAGCTAGGATTATGGAATCTTAACCCCATTGCTCCATATTAAAATAAGTGGACCCTGACAAGTTAGTTCCTGGGAAAGACAGTTGTTCATTGTGTTGTCAACTCATAAAATATTTCTGTGGTCTTTTTAGAGTTGCCAACAGAAAGGGAGGAGAGGGAGCAGTGGGCAGCTTGCATTCCATAAATGTTTTCAGAGATAGTTTCTAGGTGACCGAAGTTTCTGCCACTGCAAAATTCTAACTTGAGAACATGATTGGTGACTCTTGACTATGGATGTGTCCCACTGGAGAATATGAATTATGATATACCCGGGATGGGTGGGTGGGGAAACCATGGTCAAGGGTGACAATGAATGATGTGTCTCAGAGTCGGCTACACCTAGGCATGCTGGACTTTTTAACTCCCAATAAATCCTTTTTGAAGTTTTGGAAGAATGGCTTGTGAAACATGATTTGAATGGGGTTAAGTGCCAGAATCCTGACACCTTGAGTTATTTGGAAAAATAATAACGGTAAAATATAAGTAAGTGAATAAATAGGTAAGCTGAGGATCGCCTGTATTGTTAAATCCGATCAGAGTAATACAATCAGTGCCTTATTCTGACATCAGTTTGAGAGCAATATGCAGCTTTCTCTGCCGCACAGGTAGCTCAGGTAAGAAGAGAAAATTGGCTGGATTTGATGTGATGCCTGCTTGCACATACTAGCTGTGTTAATCTGGGCTTAAATGTTGATATCTATACTTATAGGGGTTCCCATTTTAGTATTTTCTATACTCCTCACAGCTAGAACGCTTCTGATATGTTCTTGCACCCCTTGCAAAAGTAAACACTTGGTTTGGATCATAGAATAGAATAGAATACAATAGGATAGAATAGCAATAGAGTAGAATAGAGTACTGTAGAGTAGAGTAGAAAATGAACAGAACAGAACAGTAGAATAGAACAGAACAGAATAGAATAGAGTACAATAGAACAGAACAGTAGACTAGAGTAGACTAGACTAGACTAGACTAGACTAGACTAGACTAGACTAGAATAGAATAGAATAGAATACTTTATTGGCTAAGTGTGATTGGACGCACAAAGAATTTGTCTTTGGTGGATAAGCTCTCAGTGTACATGAAAAAAATACATTCATCAAGAATCATAACACTTAGTGAGTCATAGGATACTAAATAAGCAAGCAAATCATACTAGGAAACTAAATAAAACCATATAAATCATAAAGATACAAGCAACAAGGTTACAGTCATAAGTGGGAGGAGGTAGGTAATAGGAAGTTTGAGGAGAAGAAGAATAGTAATACGGTCTTAGTAAATAAGTTGACAATGTTGTGGGAATTATTTGTTTTGCAGAGGGATGGCATTCGGGGAAAAAATGTCCTTGTGTCTAGTTGTTCTGGTGTGCAGGGCTCTATAGCGTCGTTTTGAGGGAAGGAGTTGAAACATTTTATATCCGGGATGTGAGGGGTCCGTAGATACTTTCACAGCCCTCTTTTTGACTTGTGCAGTATACAGGTGCTCAGTGGAAGGCAGGTTGGTCGCCATTTTGAAACTTTTAAACCCAAACTTTCGCCTCCCCCCCTTGAATATCCTCTCGCACCTGCCGGCTGGGAATCCCCTGATCGATAAGAACTAGATTCCCTTGTTTCTCTTGTAGGTCACCTAGAATCCCCTTGTTTGACTTGATGGACCTCAAACTGTTTCCTCCACACAGGAATTCAAATAATAACCTCCCGGACAGATGGCTACCCAGCCTTGACTCGGACTATAATACCCATATTATCGATTGTCTAGGATGAGCAAGCTCTTTTCCCCTAAAATTCAGTGGCAGACCTCATATCCTGTCATTTAAATCCATTGTCCCATGCTGGAGCCAAGGAAGACAGGGTTGACCGGACAGGATGACCCCGTGGAAATGAGAAAGTAGAATCTGGCTTTCTTTGTAGTTTCCCCCCGGCCTTTTCCCATTCAGGATGCTCTTCATAATGGAGCTTTATTGATGGCTGAATCAGGAAGTCCATCAGGCTTAAAACTCCGTATTGAATCAGAGCTGAACTTTGAGGCGACCCAGCGCCTGCCGTGAAGAGAGAGACTCGGCAAGAGTTGGCGGGTCCTTTGTTTCTTAGGGCAAAGAATGAAAGATGGGGGAGAGGAAAGGCGGATGCCCCGAACCGGGTAGGTCTCCTCCCTTCCCCTTTTTTGTTCCTTTGTCTTGGAATGGAGTGGAATGGAACGGGATGGAGAACAGGATAAATAGAAAATAGTAGAATAGAATATAAACTAGAACAGAGTAGAACAGAATCTTTTTTGAGAATAGAATTAGAGTAGAATAGAATGGAATGGAATGGGATAGAGAACAGAATAAATAGAAAATAGTAGAATAGAATATAAAATAGAACAGAGTAGAATAGAATCTGTCTTGAGAATAGAATAGAGTAAAATAGAATGGAATGGAATGGGATGGAGAACAGGATAAATAGAAAATAGTAGAATAGAATATAAAACAGAACAGAGTAGAA